CGCGGCTCGGGCCAGGACCCCTGCAGCACCCAACTCCACGGAGGAGTTCCTCGGACGGAGGACCGTCATCTGCGAGGTCAGGCGCTGGACAGCCACCGCCCCAGACAACAGCTGGCACGAGAGCGCGTCGCCGAGGGCACAACCCCCGGCACTAGTGGGGCCGCTGTTGTTGTTGTTTTGGCGCATCTAGGATGTTACAAGAACATCCGGCCGCCCGCCGGACCCCCGGCAGTCCCCGGCAGTCAGACGGCCACGAACTGGGAGAGGGGTCAGCGCACCAGCGCGGTAGAGCAGGCCAACGACCGCTGCCCCCCCATGGCCACCGGGCCAAAGGTTGGGCCGAGAGGCGCCCGGGCCACCCGGATGCGGCCATCCGCGGGGAGGAATGAGCGCCCCAAGGCCAACGCCTGGGATAGAGCTCACACTACCTTGGCGGCCGTCAGCCGCCCCCTGGCTCTCTATGGATCCGCCGACTTACGGACGGCTACCGACTGCGAGCCAGGAGCTTACCGTGCCTCTCCCCAGAGTAGTGGAATTCCCTCACTAACCTTTGCGGCCGTCAGCCGTTCCCTGGTTCCCTGACTCTCTCCTTCTCTCTCTCTCTCTCTCTCTCTCTCTCTCTCCCTCTCCACGGTCGATACGGCCATCGGCCGCATTTCCCTGCAGAGGGAAGGGTGGATCGGCCATCTGCCGGATGTCCCCGCGGTCCGACTTGCACTCAGCCAGGGAACTGGCAGTCTCTGGCGATCCGACGGCCATGAACCGGGAGACGGGACACCTCCCCAGCGCTGCAGCGCACACTAATGTCAGCCGCCACACAGGGCCAACTGGATACAGGGCGGGCCGCGAGGGTACACGGGATACCAAGGGAGTGGAAGTCTACCCGCTGCGGGCAAGGACCGCCCCCATGCCTTTCCCCTGGTGCCGTGGAGTTCTCACGCTAACCTGTGCGGCCGTCAGCCGCTCCCTGGGTCTCTGCTTCTCTCTCCTCTCTCTCTCTCTCTCTCCCTCTCTCTCTCTCTCTCAATCTCTCTCTCTCTCTCTCTCTCTCTCTCTCCCTCTCTATACGGGCGGGACGGCCATCTGCCTTTCGTTCCCGCATGCACAAGGGTAGGGCAGCCATCGGCCGTGCGTTCTTGCAGTCTGACTCGCATTAGTTCGTGCGGCTACCGGCCGTCCCCTGGCTCTGGGCAGTCCCCGTGGGCCCCTCTCACCCTGGCCGGCTGGCGACGTCAGTCCCCACCTGCCCACGCCACACGAGGGTCTTCATAAGGACGGGGCGGCCAGCTGCCGCACGACCCTGCAGCTTCGCATCGTCTGTGTGGCCAACCGCCCCCTGGCGCTGGACTCCCCTGGTGGACGCCTCTCTCTCGCCGGCCTGGTGATGTCCGTTCCCACCGGCCCGACCCGCTCTCCCGCGCAATACGCGGTCCCCTCCGTGCGGCGTCCACGACGCACACCCCTGGCCAGGCTCCCTGTTGCGTTGACACTCCCTGGGCCCTGGTCTACAGCACTCGCCGCAGCCGCCCGTGTCTGGCGTCGACTTCAGAGTTTTGCGAGATGTGTCACGGAGTGGTGCAGCCTTCCAGCAGACACCGTGGTTCCCCATTGGCGCCCTGTCACCGCTTGTCCAGCTTGTACCCTGCCACAGCTGTGGCCCTGGTTTTTGGCGCCCTGTGGCGACATGGTCAGTTCGTACCTGGTCACTCATGCCCATGGTACCTGAGCTCGAACGCGTTGCTTCCAGCTCTTCGTTCCTGGTAGCGCGCCGCCCACTGGGTTGGCCCGGCGGTGGAGGCGCTCCGCTAGTTTGATGCGTGGTTTGCAGATACAGAGCCGATCATGCTCTCCTGGGGTGCAGGACTTAATTCCATTCTGGCGTTTTGCAGCCATGCTCCCGCATGTTGCATCTGCTACCCTGGCCTTCAGCAGGCAGCTCAGCCAGCTTCCCATCAGCTGCAGCCCCACTGGCGGCTGCTTCTGAGTGCAGGCCCGGCCGCTTCGCTCTAGGCTCGCGCGTAGCCAATTTGGCAAGCCCGTGGCCTGGACCTCTCCTTCAGCGACAGCGTTTCCGCGCCCGCCCGCGACCAAAAAAAGTATCCCCACCAACCACTCCGCAGGTGTCAGTCCCCTCTGACACCCTCCTGAGGCCTCGGCCGGCACGTAACCGTCGCCTCGCGCGTTGTTCTGCTTTATTTGTCCCGCGGCTCCTCTGCCTAATTTGTCTCTGCGTAGCCCGCGTTGACCTAACTCGCCGCCGGCGCGCTCGCCCGCGGCCGCTGACTAAAAAGGATCCACACGAACCCATCCAGAAACGATGTCCAGGCGAATTGAGAGGTGATCAGGGAAGTGCGGGAGCAAAGAGGGGGACGGCCGAACCGTGTGAAGGAGAGAGGAGGCGAAGGAGAAAATTGGATGGATGGATGAGGGAGTAGGGAGAAGGAGGATGAATAGGATGAGAAGGAGGAGGAGGAGGAGGAGGAGGAGGCGGAGGGGGGGGAGGGATGAGAAGGGATGGGAGGAGGAAGGAGGAGGAAGAGAGCAAGCAAAAGGGCCAGAGGTCTCTTGGATGCTTTTCGGAGCCTCTTGGGGTATCTCTTGGGCGTCTTGGGATGTATTGGGGGTCTTTTGGCGGTCGTGGGGGGGGTTCTTCGGCGTCTTGGGTGCCTCGGGGGGGGCCTCTTGGGGCCGCTTGGGATCCTTTTGGGGGCCTCCTGGGGGCCTCTTGTGGGCCTCTTGGGGCCATCTTGGGACCTCTTGGGGCCTCCTGGGCGTTTTTTGGGGCAATCTTGGAGGAGATCGATCGAACAAGAGGGGAGCTTTAATTAGGCCCCCCCAAGAGAGGAACATAATGCCAAAACCCTAGTCAAACAAATGATGTTGGTTTCCTCGCCGAGGCCATTGTGAACGTTCCGACACCTCGCGGAACTCCCTGTCCAGGTCCAGGGGAGGGGGTAGGGAAAGGGGTAAACCCTTCCCCGAAGGGGAAGAAGGAGGGGTGGAAGAGGAAACTCTCTAAACCACCTACGCCCAGAGGGCTGGTGGGATTTAACCTCGCCAACCCTCATGGGGGTTGGTGCTGCGATCTGCGAAACCGTCGACACGTGCGAGGGGTCCTGGGGGGTCCAGCGGAATGAGGTCCACACGCATGCCTAAATGAAAAATCTCAATCCTTGGGGCGGCTGCGATCTGCGAAATTGTCGCAGCTCTCGGGGGCTGCTGGGGAGTCCAGCGGAGTAAGGCCCCGCGCAGTAGACCTCGCCGCTATCCCTGGGAGGCTGCGATCTGCGACACTGTCGCCACTCTCAAGGGCTGCTTGGGGGGTCCAGCGGAGCGAGGTCCCGCGCATGCCTAAAAAGGACCTCGCCATCCCTGGGGGATGGCTGCGATCTGCGAAACCGTCGCCACCTCCGAGGGCTGCTGGGGGGTCCAGCGGAGTGACGTCCTACGCGGATGTCGATTAGTCTTGATTTCCTTTCCCGCGGGGGGCGCATGCGAACGGTGCCGGTGGGACCTTAGGTAGAGCTCCCTCTGGGACCACGAATCTTGTGAGGGGAATGCCGAAATGGGCGGGGGAGACGCATGCGAACGGTGCCACTGGGCCCTTCGGTGGAGCTCTTTGTGGGGCCACGAATCGTGTGAGGGGTGTACCGAAGTGGGCGGGGGAGACGCATGCGAACGGTGCCACTGGGCCCTTCGGTGTGCCTCCCTATGGGGGGCACGTATCGTGTGAGGGGAGGGAAGGGGGGAAGAAAGGGAGGAGGAGGAGAAGGAGGAGGGAGGAACGCGGGGCGCTGTCTCCTCAAAACGAGGACCCAACACCACAGGATGGTTGGGAAAAAAGAGAGTGAGAGGGAGAGAGAGAGAGACAGAGACAGAGACAGAGACAGAGACAGGCAGTCAGAGTTGAGAAGCAGAAGGTGAGAGAGGGGGACGCGGAGGAAGGGGAGGTGAGACAGCGAGGGGGGACACGGAGGGAGACGTGGGGAGGGACGGAGGAAGAAGGAACGGCGGGGCGAGAGGGAGGAAGGGAAGACCCCCCCGTTCTCCCATGCGCAGTCGTCTGGGCGCAATCCGCGCGTGCCCGGAGACATTCTGGAGAGAGCCGTTTCCCGCCGAGGGTGGAGCGGGGGCTCCCTTGCGATGTTGCTGCAGCGGCTCTTCCTACTCGGGCTCGCGTCGGTCGGCGCTGGCGCAGTGGAACTCACTCCGGACAATTGGGAGGGGATGACGGCGGGCAAGACCGCTTTTATTTGATCGCTTCGCTCACTCCGCCGGCCCGTACTGTGCCATCGCAGGCGTTTGCCTGCGCGTTCGTGGCCTCTTGGGGGCCGTTTAGGGCCTCTTGGATTCTCTTTTTGGGTATCTCGGTGGTATTTCTGGGACCTCATGGGGGGGTCACGGGGGCCTCTTGGGGGCCTCTTGGGGGTCTCTTGGGGCCTCTCGGGGGCCTCTTGGGGGCCTCTTGGGGCCTCCAGGGGACCTCTCTGCGCCTAGAGCTCGAAATGTACGTTCGGGTCTGGAGGCCATCTTTGGCGTCTTGGATCGCTCTTGGACCGTCTCGGATCATGCTGAGCTTTCTTAGAGGCCACTTGAAGCGCTCCTGGGAGCGTGCTGGGACCTGGCCGGGACCTCGCCGGGACCCGGCCGGGACCTGGCCGGGACCTGGCCGAGATTTTGCCGGGACCTTGCTAGGGTATTTTTCGTCTGGGGACCCCAGGAGCGTCCCCGCGCACGCGAACTAGAAATATTGGTAACCAGTTACCAAAGATCTTAGCACGCCCTTGGCCGGTTAGGCCGGCGAATAAAGTTCCAGGCGCCGTGGTGAGGCCACTGCAAGAGGATTCGAGCAACGCAAACCAGCATTAACACAAATTATTGGAGCTCCGGGCGGATTTCTTGGATCGGCGTTGGGCCCCATGGCCCGCGCGGACCTCCAACAGTTTATGCGTATGCCGTTGTTTGTTCGTCCCAGGGTGAAGCCCGACTGGGACAAGCTGATGGCCGCGTACAGAGACTCCAGCGACATCATAGTGGGCGACGTGGACTGCACTGCCTCGGGCAAGAAGCTTTGCGGGAAGCATGGGGTGAGGGGGTACCCAACCATTCTGCATGGGGATCCCTCGTCACCCGAGGGCATGGCAAAGTACCAGGGCCAGCGCAGCTACGCCGCTCTCAGCGCGTTCGCGGCAGGCCTCAAGCCGCAGTGCGGCCCGACGAACGTCGTTGGATGTAAGGGGGAGGACAAGGCGTTCCTGGAGTCTATCGTTGGCCTCTCCGGCGAAGCTCTCAAGAGCAAGGGCGACGAGCTCAAGGCTGCGGTGGAGATGTCGGAGAAGGCTGTGGAGGCTGCGATCGCGGAGTTCGAAAGCCTCCGGACACACGAGAAGTTGCTCAAGCTCGCGACCAAGATGCCGATGCCCGGGAAGGAGGAGCTGTAAGGGTTCCCGCCGCGGTTGGGTCAGTCCTTGCCAGCGGTGGGCTCGTGAGAAGAGCAGCGTGGTCTGGGGGGACAGGGTCGGGCTGGGGTCGTGCAGGGTCCCGCCCTCTCCGTGGTCTGGCGGCATTGGCATGGTGCACCCGGTCATACGCGGAATTATTGCACGTGCCCAGTGTTCGGAAACCACGAGGGACGTACCCAACGCATGAGGTACGCGCGGTTGCATCCAGGGAGACGCAATCTCCTGGCGAAGCTACATGGCAAGCCGTTCGCTGAACCTCTCAGGGGATCAGAGGTTGGTGGCAACAGTGGCGGCAGCCGAGCGGCCGGCTGCCCCTGCGGTCCACAGGGCCACAGGAAAGTTGGGGCAGGTGTGCAGCCGGCATAGCCGAGACAGCGAGGTATCTTTTGATCTGAATACGGAAAACAGTTGGCACGAGCGTTCACAGCGTCCCTAGCCTCGGAAGGGTACCCGTCTGTTCTTCGTGTGTGAGTTTCCTTTCCATCCACCTTGGAACGCTCCTCGCTCTGGATATCTCAACGGGGCCTTGGGACATCGGCGGAGGGCCTCGCACTTTTGGCCCATGTTCTTGTGGCCACGTTTCGGCTGTAGGACGGAGCTCCACAGGACCTCCCCAGGGCGCAGGAGGCGGCGAGGTCTCTGAGGGGACGAGGTCACATCTGTCATCTGACCTGCGTAGGTCACGAGTGGCCACGGCTGTGTGGATGGCAGCGGCCAGGAAGGCTACGTTTCACCGGAGGGACGCCACTCGGCTGACCTCCCAGCCCATGGGGCACAGGAGAGAATGGGCACTCGTGCGACTGGCAGCGCCCTGGGGGGGCGAGGTCTCGGCTGCACGGAGGAGGGAGGAGGGAGGATGACGGGAGGAGGAGACGGGAGCGGGAGGGGGAGCCCAGGGAAGGAGCGGCAGGTGCGAAGACCCAACCGCGAAGAGGGTTGGGAGCAATGTTGCCGTTCGTCGCCGAACGGCGGAGCTTGCAAAGGAGTGCTTTATCTGTGGGCACCCGGTGACTTCCAGGCTCCGACCTTGCTCTTTCGAGCGAGCATTGTGCCAGGGATGATGTTGCGCCCATCACACTCCGCGCAGGCAGCCATGACTTGGCGAGGCGACGCAAAAGGGTCGTGCGCCCTACCCCTCCTCCTCCTCCTCCTCCTCCGCCTCCTCCTCCTCCTCCTTCTCCCCTGTATGAGACGTCCAATATAACACATCAGCATAAACGTCATCAGGTCCGCGCGGACTGTTCCTTGAGCGGCGCTGGCATCCACAACCCCTCACCTGCCTGATGCGTTTGACTTCTTATCCTGGTACCTCCCCCCTCCCCCCTTGTCCCCTCGCCATCCGATATCCCCTCCCTCTTCTCCTCATACACGTGCCGTCCCCCCTCCCCCCTTGCCCCCTCGCCATCTGATCCCCCATCCTTTTCCTCCTCCTCCTCCTCCTCCTCCTCCTCCTCCTCCACAGGGGGCGGGCGGGGCAGCCCCAACAGGATGGCCAGAAGCACGGCTTCGGCTGCCAGGTGTGGCCCAGTGGGAACAGGTTCGAGGGCCAGTGGAAGTGCGGCAAGATGTCTGGATTGGGGGGGGGTGATGGGAGGAGGACTAGAGGAAACCCAGCAATCACGCGCACACACACACACTCACATGTGGATGTCGATATATACATATATATATATATATATATATATATATATGTGACACATATGACACACATGCACGCATGTATATATCTATATATATGTATGTATGTGCATACACAAGCACACATGCGTACATGCATCCATACATACATACATACATACATGCATGCATACAAACATACATACATACATGCATACATACATACATGCATGCATACATACGTGCATACATACATGCATATAGACACACACACACACATACCCACATGCACGCATGCATACATATATACATACATACATATATATGTATGTGCATGCATGCATGCATGTATACATACACACATACATACATGCATACATGCATGCATGCATACATACATACATACAGACATACAGACATACATACATGCATACATACATGCATACACACTCATTCATACATGCATACATGCATACATGCATACATACATACATACATGCATGCATGAATGCATATAATCATACACACATTCATACATTAAACATCAAACATACATACATACATATATACATACATACATACATACATACATACATACATACATACATACATACATACATACATACATACATACATACATACATACATACATACATACGAAAGAGCGCGTTCTGTGGTCGCTTGGTAGGGGGGGGGAACTGGACCCCCCCACACCCTGGATGGAGGGGAGGGGGGGGCGGGTTTCGACCCCCCCCCGCCCCCCTGGATGGGGGGGGGGATTCGAACCCCCCCCTCCCCTGCTTCCCCTGTCCTCGGGCCAGCGCTTGCGTCGGCGGCGGTGACGGCGGCGGGGACGACGATTTCCATTTCTGGGCCGGCGGGCGCCGGCGCCTGCGGCGGCGGGCGGCGGCGGTGGCGGGGAGCGTCGACGAGGACGGCGGTGGTGGTGGTGGTGGTGGTGGTGGTAGGTTGTGGTGGTGGTGGTAGTGGTGGTGGGTTTTTGTGGTGGTGGTGATGGTGAGTTGTGGTGGTGGTGGTTGTGGTGGTGTGGTGGTGGTTTGTGGTGGTGGTGGTGATGGTGGGTTGTGGTGCTGGCGGTGGTTTGTGGACGTTTGTTGTGGTGGTGGTGGTGGTGGCAGTGGTGGTGGTGATGGTGGTGTGGTGGTTTGTGGTGGTGGCGGTGGGTTGTGCTGCTGGTAGTGGTGGTGGTTCTGGCGGTGGTGGTGGTGGTGGTGGTGTGGTGATTGTGGTGGTGGTTGTGGTGGTGGTGGCTGTGGTGGTGGTGGTGGTTGTGTGGTGTGCTGTTGGTGGTGGTGGTGGTGGGTTGAGGCGGTGGGTGGTGGTGGTGGTGGTGGTGGTAGTGTCGCTGCGTCCCCGCCGTCGCCGGCGCCAGCGCCAGGCAAGGCTGGCCGCCGCCAGCGCCGGCGCCGGCGCGAGGGGGGGGGGTTGAACACCCCCCTCCTTGGGCTGCCTCTGGTCATCGTCGCTGCGTCCCCACCGTGGGCGCTGCTGGCGGCCGGAGGGGGTTTTGAACCCCCCCCCCTGGGAGGGGGGAGGGGGGGGGAGGGGTTTCGGGAGGGGGGGGGTTTGTGGGGGAGGGGAGCCCCCCCGGTTTTGATCGACGGCGCCGAGTGTTGGGGGGGGAGGCCACCCCCCAGTTCGAAACGCGCCGCCGAATGTTCCCAAGGCAAGCGCCCGTAAAACGCTTTCTTTCCGACATACATACATACATACATACATACATGCATACATACAGACAGACAGACAGACAGACAGACAGACAGACATGCATACATACATGCATACATACATACCTGCATACATGCAGACATGCACACATGCATGCATACATGCATGCACGCATGCCTGCAAGCGTGTAGTTGTGACTGTATTCGCACTCATACATACATCCGTTTCATTGATGCATGCATATATGTAAATATACCTGCGTACACATATACATACACGTATGTATACACGTACATATTGCATGCGTATATACATACATGGATACATACAGACAGACAGGCAGACATGTATACCGACATCCATGCATAGATACAGACATACACGCATACGAGCCTGTATGCATACACGTACACATGCATACGTGCAGGCATGCATGTATGCATGCAGACATGCAGACATGCATGGGTGCATGCATGCATACACTATACATACATACATGCGTGCGTGCATGCATGCATGTACGTATGCAGACATGCATACGTACATGGATACAGGTATACATACATACACACACACCAATACACACGCATGCATACATACATACCTACATACGTACATATGTACGTACATACATACATATGTACACACATACATACATACATACATACATACATGCATGCATGCATACATACATACGTACGTACGTACCTGCATATATACATGCATACATACATACGTACGTACATACATACATGCATACATGCATACACATACATACATGCATGCATGCATGCATGCATACATACACGTGTAGCATGTTGCATTACATACACACAAACCTGATGCAAGAACCCTCGCCCCCTCTCAGCTTACTGCGGCCGGCGGCCGCCGCAAGTATGGAAGACCTGGGCATGGGATGGCTGGCACGTTGACACCGCCTCGAGCCGCGGATGGTTTAGGATTTGGGAAGGCTGGAAGAGATGGAGGCCCGTGGTCATGGCACCAGAAGCACGGTCAGAAATGTATACCTAACATATCACGTTACCCGTTCTAATCTACCGCGCTTCGGCGCGACGCGCTGTCCACGTCCAAGTCGGCAAGCGTCAACCGCCCGAGCCTTGTCCAGCCTCTCGCCCCGCGGAGCGCAGCGCCCTCCAGGCCCTTCAGGACCCCCCAGGGCCCCCCCCCAGGGCGCTCCAGGGCCCCGGTGGGCGCTGGGGGGCCCTGGGGGGCCTTGCCAGGCCCTGGAAGGCCCTGGGGGGCAGTGGGGGGCGTTGGAGAGGCCTGGGGTGCCCTGCAGGTCCTGTGGAGGAGCCCTGGGGTTTCTCGGGATTTTCATTGGGAGTTTAGAAGATTCTCGGGAGCTTTTGGGATTCCTACGTTCTGATGATTCTGAGAGGCCCTGGGGGCACCTGGGGGGGTCTGGTGGGACATGGGGGGCCCTGGGAGACCCCGGGGGGCCCTGGGGAGGCCTGGGGGACCCTGGGGAGCCCTGGGAGGCCCTGGGAGGCCCGGGGGGTCCCTGGGGGGTCCTGGGGGGCCCTGCGGGGTCTATGCAACCTCCTCCTCCTCCCTCCTCCTCCTCCTCCTCCTCCTCCTCCTCCTCCTCCTCCTCCTCCTCCTCTTCCTCCTCCTCCTCCTCCTGCTAAATCTTGTTTGGGCTACAGTGTGCGGCATGGTACAGTATTGTCCGGTACGGTCGGCCGGTTGGTGCGGTGCGGGCTGGTACCCATTAGCCCTCTATCCGGTGCGGTAGTGGTCATTACGGAAAGTAGCAACCCACACGAGGATGGCGCTCCTCCCTGCGGGCTGGAGGGCTCTGCCGGCTCTGTGGGCCAGTTGTGGGCCGACCGCCGTGTCCCTCGAAAAGCAGGGGGGTCTTCACGAGGATGGCGCTTCTCCCAGTGGGCTGGAATGCTTTACCATAAGGGTTGTTTTGTTCTTTGTCATACGAATTGCGTTATCCAAGACCTCTACCAGCTTTGCCGATGTGGTTGATGTACACGTCGTCGTTGCTGCGCATGTGGTTGTAATGTTGTTGTAGTGTTGTTATTGTTGTGCTGATGGGGTTGACGTTCATGTGGTTGCTGCCTGTGGTTGTAAAGCTTTTGTTGTTTTGAGTTGTTACGTTGTTGCTAATGAGGTTGCCGCGGATGTGGATGCTGGTCACGTCGCCGTTCATGACCACGTGGCTGTGATTGTTGTTATTATTGTTGTTCACATTCTCTTGTGGTTGTAATGTTGTTCTGGTTGTTGTTCCCCAAACATGCTTCAGCATGAGGGTTTGGATCTGACATCAATGACTGGTGTGTGGTTCTCCATGCTTGGGGTCGACCTTGGGGTATTAATTCTATTACACCTCGCGAAAGTACACAACGCAAGAGATGCCAGGGAACCGACACCCGTAAATGCCTAGCGCAGGATAGGCAAAGCTATAGCACATTCATTTGACTTCTCTCGACCTTGTGTACTCGTGGAAATGTCACACCCCACTGCCCAATATGTAAAGAAGTCGCAGGTGCTCGCCATCGTTGGACCGAGAAGCGCGGTCAACGCTGGTAGCTGTCAGGAACGTCAAGTTCCTTGTTCGCGAAACGTCGGGGGGGTACCAGGCGAGTGCTGAAACATGTAATGTTCGCCACCCGTGCGACTGTTGGGAAAGATTGCGGCGCATGCGCAAGGTGCCGAGGCGAGAGCCAGGTTCTGAAAGGGAGCCACCCGCTTAAAAGACCAACACGGGAGGCCCGAAACGACTCTTAGATAGTAAGGGGAGCCACCATCGGTGCGTATAGTTGTTGGAGATGTTCGAGACGAGCGTGCGCTGCACAGCGGCGCTGAGGCGAGAGCTCCGTTTTGATAATGGCCTTAGCTCCATCAGTGCGCCTACCACACACAGGACCAGTAAGTGTGGTTCTAAGACGAGCGCCAGATCTTGAAAATGCTACACCCTCAATGCGTGCAGAAATGCCCCGCGAATCGCCGACGCATTCCTGTCGACACGTCCAGGTGTGCGACGAAGATGGTAGCAAGGGGGGAAGAAGAGTGGAAAGCGACGGAAGAGGAGGGGAAGCAGGAGAAGGGTGAGGAGGGGCGGCTGCTGGGAAGCGGGCGGGCGGAGGGGGAGGCGACGGAGGAGCAAACAGAGGCGAAGGAGGCCTCAATTACGTCCCTCCTTTCTCGCCGTCCCCCCACCGTTGAATTACACTTCGTTCCCGTCTCCTCCTTCCTTCTCGTGTGTCCCCCTCCTTCCTGGCTGGTCCTCTGTTCTCCTCCTGGTGCAGGGGCAGGGGCAGGCCGCGGCACAATGGTGTGGGTGGACGGCGGTGTCGTCGAGAAGTTCGTCGGCTACTGGGAGGACCTGATTTCCGAGCTTGCTCACTCGAGCGCGTGTCCAGCAGAGAGGAGTGGCATGTTCGATGAGGCGGGGGTGGACGAGGGAACACCGGGAGATGACAATTCGCAGGCACAGAATGCGAAGGGGAATGGACGCAGGATGCAAATCGAGAAGAACGGACGATGGGCCATGGATCGGGCAAACGTGGCGCGGAAAGAAGACGAGGGCTACATTTACATAATTCTGTATCTGTGAACGGATAGGAATAGTGTTAGCCAGCGTGGACTCCATACAGTGCGCTTCTATCAATATGTCCCGAACAGTGCTTGCACTTAGGGGTTCTTCTTCTGGGGAATTGGCCCTGAATGTCGGTCTCGCGGCTCCGTGCTCGCCGTCGCCGCCTCGTCGCCGCCCGTGCTCTGGCCCTGAATGTCGGTCTGGCGGCTCCGTGTTCGCCGTCGCCTCGTCGGTCTGGCGGCTCTGTGCTCGCCGTCGCCGCGGCGTCGCCGCCCGTCGTCTGGGCCTGGGTGTCGGCTCCCCCGCCTCGCCCCCAGGTTCATCGCCCCCCCCCCGCCCCCCCCGTTGGGACAACATTCCAATTTACATACGCCCCGGCCCCATCGCCCATTTAAGTATGAACTCAAACCATCTTTATCGATCGCCCCCCACCCCTGTCAAATGAAATTATGCGCGCGCACTCGTTTCTCAAAAATCAGGAACGTTAAATAACCCTTTGCAAAGGCCAACACCATTTGACAACGTCCACACGCGCGTCGCCGCGCGCGCATGCCGAAATCTGTAAACAACAAGACATTGGCCTGGCGAAGGGCCCAGCCAGATGCACTTGTGGGTGCCGCAGTCGTGAGCATCATCTTCGTTGGAGCTCGCTATGGGGCCACGAATCGTGTGAGGGGTACACCGGAATGGGGGTGGAACTGCATGCGAACTTCGCCACTGGGGCCTTCGGTGGAGCTCCCCATGGGGCCACGAAGCGTGTGAGGGGTGCGCCGAAATGGGGGTGGAACCGCATGCGAACTTTGCCACTGGAGCCTTCGGTGGAGCCTCTGATGGGGCCACGAACCAGGTGATGGGTGCGCCGAAATAAGGGTGGAACCGCATGCGAACTTTGCCATTGGGGCCTTCGGTGGAGCTCCCTATGGGGCCACGAGCCCTGTGAGGGGTGTGCGGAAATGGAGGTGGAACTGCGTGCGAACTTTGACACTGGGGCTTTCGGTGGAGCTCCCTATGGGGCCACGAGCCGTGTCAGGGGTGCTCCGAAATAGGGGCGGAATTGCGTGCGAATTTTGCCACTAGAGCATGCGTTGCAGCTCCTATGGGGCCACGAGCCCTGTGAGGGCTGTGCCGAAATGGGGTTGGAACCGCATGTGCACTTTGTCATTGCGACCTTCGGTGGAGCTCCCTATGGGGCCACGAGCCCTGTGAGGGGTGTGCGGAAACGGAGGTGGAACTGCGTGCGAACTTTGCCACTGGGGCCTTCGGAGGAGCCTCCTCTGGGGCCACGAATCGTGTGAGGGGTACACCGAAATTGGGGTGGAACTGCATGCGAACTTTGCCACTGGGGCCTTCGGTGGAGCTCCTTATGGGGCCACGAAGCGTGTGAGGGCTTTGCCGAAACAGATACTTGCGCAGGGCAGAGGCAGGGACAGGAGGAGGGAGGAGGGGAGTAGGAGGAGAGGAGGAGGAGAGGTGGGACGCGGGGCGCTGTCTCTTCGAAACGATAACCCAACAGCACAGGATGGTTGGGAAAACTATCCTGGCGAAGGACCCAACCATATGCAGTTGTGAGTAGCGCAGTGGTACGTACGGTCCTCGGTGGATCTCCCTATGGGGCCACGAGCCGTGTGAGGGGTGTCCCGAAATGGGGGCGGAACTGCATGCGAACTTTGCCACTGGGGCCTTCGGTGGAGCTCACTATTGGGCCACGAATCGTGTGAGGGGTGCGCCGAAATAGGGATGGAACCGCATCGATCTTTGCCAGTGGGGCCTTCGGTGGAGCTCCTTATGGGGCCACGAACCGTGTGATAAGTGCGCCGAAATGCGGGTGGAGCTGCACGCGAATTTTGCCACTGGGGCCTTCGGTGGAGCCTCCTATGGGGCCACGAAGCGTGTGAGGCGCGCGCCGAAATAGGGGTGGAATTGCAAGCGAATTTTGCCTCTGGTGCCTGCGGTGGAGCCTCCTATGGGGCCACGAACCGTGGGAGGGGTGCGCGGAAAGGGGGGTGGAATTGCGTGCGAACTTTGCCATTGGGGCCTTCGGTGGAACTCCCTATGGGGCCACGAGCCGTGTGAGGGGTGTACCGAAATGGAGGTATAACCGCATGCGAAGTTTGCGACTGGGGCCTTCGGTGGAGCTCCCTATGGATCCTGATGGGGCCACGAATCGTGTAAGGGGTACGCCGAAATGGGGGTCGAGCTGCATGCGAACTTTGCCACTGGGGCCTTCGGTGGTGCTCCCCATGGGGCCACGAACCATGTGAGGGGAACGCCGGAATAGGGGTGGAACTGCGTGCGAACTTTGCCATTGGGGCCTTCGGTGGTGCTTCCTATGGGGCCGCAAACCGTGTGAGGGATGTGCCGGAACAGCTACATGCGGAGGGCAGAGGCACAGAGGCGGAGGACGGGGAGGAGGAAGGAAGGAAGAGGAGACGCGAGGCGTTGCCTCTTCAAGCGAGGACCCAACACCACAGGATGGTTGGGAAAAAAGCATGGGTTTCGGACGGGTTTCAACATTGTGTCCCCCGATAACACAGAAACCCACAATGGTTTTGCAGCATGGCTTCTCATAAAAGTCTGCGCTCGCCTCGCCAGGTCTTCAGGAGCCAAGGGTGTTCCAGCATTTTCATCACATGCGACCGAGCGGGCCTCTCGCGCGCGCATGCTGAAATTATTCGAACGTCCTTGCGCGCTTCCTGGGGGGCACTTCCCTTGATCAAATAACACCACTTGGGCCATTCCCGCCCGTCGACCTCGCGCACATGTCAAAGTTGAATCCCGAAAACCTTCATCACCGATGCGTGGACACCATAATCGTCATCGGCGTGATCAGCATCGGCGCTGTCATCGGCCTTGCCGTCGTCATTGTCACCATTGGCACCACCACCGCTACTAGCATCACCGTGTCTGCCGTTGTCGGCGTCGCCATGATACCGCGCCCGCCCGAGCCACCGACTTGCATTGAGGCTCCCGCGCGCCAGCGCGGCTGGCGAGACGCGCTCGCTCAGGAACCCACAGCGGTCAGCGCCACCGCGGCCGCGTCGGTCGCGCCAGACTAGCTGACCGCTCTGCGCTCGAGCATGCGCACGCTATCGCGGCCGCAGCGATGCGACAGCCAGCGCCGCGCAGTCATCGCAATCGCCGCCGCACGGTTTTGCAAACCAAGTTGCGGACGGGTGCGACTGCCTACTCGCAGAAAAGACTGCCACAGGCCCGACAGTGAATCAGCTGCCCTATTATATCAGCTACGATGACAAGAGTGCCGCGGCAGAGAACAGCAAGCGTGGCATCGTTGTGCAGGCGTGGGCACCGCTGGGCGGCAGCACTGGCGGCATCAAGGGCCAGGCAGGGAAGGCCTGTGAGGAGGTTGGCAACAAAAATATGGCAAGTCATGTGCGCAAGCTGCGTTGCGCGATCGTGGACACAGGTGCACTTTTGCCATGCAAGCCAGGAACACCAAAACATGTCGCAGATAAGATCAACGCGTTTGACTTCAAGCTGTCAGAGGAAGATCTCGCTTTCTTGCAGAATGTCCGAACGTAATGAGCTTGCCCGCCATGAATCCCGTCCCGGACCTCTCGCTTTCTGTCCCGGTGGGAATCAAACATGATGAGCAACCGCGGCAACATCACCGACAGCGGCAGCGATCCTTATGAATCAAAGACTAGCGTTGCAGCTTGGGGAGTACTACCCTGGCGGCGTTGCGATCGAGACTTGCCCCTATCATCCGAATGGCCATGGTAACCCGAGCAAAGTTAACAGTTTCCCACGTCCGATGGCCATTCCAGCGAGTGATCCTCCCCAGTCTTCCCCATCTATCGAGGCGCTTCGCTTCCCAGCAAGACTGTTACTGGCCCAGGTAATTCGAACAAATGCGGGTGGGTGGGTGGGATGATTGCGCGAGAAGTGGCACTAACAGCTAACAACTCCCAAGTAAGCATTATGTTGTCCTCATCTTGCAAACGAACAGTTCGGATGTGTCCCCCACCCCAGGGTTATCCGTACCCCCGGGGGATGTGCAGTTTGCATACGAGTATGCCTCATCGTTTTCTGTTTACTGAATTCATATACTCCCCGCAAAGCTGGAATCGACCCCCTTCCTATTCAAATTATTACTCGCGCGCGCCATCGCATAATCAAAATCATCACCGTTTTTTTGTTGAGAGAGAGGGGGGGGGGAAAACAAACCTGGAGAACAATATGACAAAGTCCACACGCGCGCGTCGTGATGCACATGCCGGCATCCTCCAACAACCCCCGGTGTCTTACGGATGTCAAGAGCTAGTTCCCCAAAATTGTATCAAAACAAACGGCTTTGCCACATCTTATCTCAAAGAAATGCGCGCGCTTTCTTGCAATTCCCACAAAAAAAGAAACATAGGTATTGCAGCGACTTTTTCATCGCGACCAAACCTATCGCACCGTACCGTTGGGAACTGGCCTCCCGGGCTGGCGTTCCGAGCACGGTCCGGGAGAGCCCCATCGCATTTCACCGTGAAGACCAGCCTCTCGGTGGAAATGGACATTCGGTGGGCGGGGAGCAGCATGTGGACCCTGCAACTGAGCCTTTCGGTGGAACTCCCCGTGGGGCCACGAAGCGTGTGTTGGGTTGTGCCGAAATGGACATGCGGTGGGCGGGGGGCAGCATGTGGACCCTGCCACTGGAGCCTTCGGAAGGGGCTCCCTATGGGACCACGAAGCGTATGAGGTGTGTGCCAGAATGGACATGCGGTGGGCGGGGGGGCGCATGTGGGGCGTTCGGCGGAGTTCCTTATGGGGCCACGAAG